GTCGAGCTGGTGGGGCAGGGAGAGAGGTATGGTGGGGGGAGGGCTCTATGATCATGAGAGCTGAGGAGGAAGGGGGGGCCTCGATACACAATGGGATGGCGGGAGACTCTATCTCATCCACTAATAGATCATCATCATCAAAAGGGAAGCTGGTCGATGCTCTCAGATGGTCGGATGGGATGTGAAACTCCTCCTCCGACTCTGAGTCAAGCACAGAGAAGCGGGAATGGGTAGCTATGGGAGCTGACTGGAGGGACTGGTGGGGGAAAGACATGTAGCTTTAGCCTTAGGCCTATCGAGGTTAACCTCCTTGGGCAGTGGGCCCTCAGAGGTGACCTTGCTCTTGCCCTTAAGCCCCTTCGGGTTGGGGCCGTGCGCCGGGGCCTTGCCCTTCTCCTTAGGGCTTATCGGGCGATAATAGAACTCTGCCTCGCTACACGTCGAAGGGGGCGCAGGGCAGGTCGGTGTTTGTTGCCCTTAGTATAACATTTTGCAGCCCCATGTCCTACATGACTGCATAGGGAGTAGAACGGTGGTACTCTCTCGTAGATCACTTTCTGGATAGTGGTCTTGCCCGCTTGGTCGAGCTCAATCTCCTTTATGAGCTCATCCCTAAGGTCAACCTCTACGCACACCCGTGCGACAGATAACCTCGAGCGGTTTGTCGTAGCGGAATCAGTCTCAATGGGGTTGCCAATGCAACTGGCAGTCGAAAAGAGGGCAGAAGGGTCGAAAAGGTGTGGTAAAAGGCCCAGAAAGCAGCACCACACTGGGACTATGGAAGATTCCTCAACAAAGGAGAAGTCCGGGGTGTATTTAAACACCCGACCAGGGCATCCAAAAATATTGAGATGCGTCTTAATCCAAATCGAGTTATAGTCCTCTTTCAACTCAAAATAAAGTAAATAATGATTATAATTCAGGAACTTAGAGGTCACCCTACCCTTGAAACCCAGTTTGACCAAACTGACAGATAGATCCCGAAGGGAAGGGACAGTGAAGGAAAACTTCAAGATGAGAGCATTATCAAACGGTTCAGCTAGGGAAATAACAGTGGGCTCGAGGAAACTTACCTTGAACCTGTCCTCCTCGGAGCGAGTAACAGTCCCACTCTGTTTGTCCCGAAAGGACTCCAACATCCGTCTTTGTTTGCCCGGTTTGGCGGCAGTGGAGGTGCCCGATACCGCATCTCAAAAAAAATGAGCTCCGAGAGACCGAGATCCTTTGTTCGCCGGTTGGTAAGGTGGAGGGTTGATGGTGTTTGGTCTTTGGACGGGGCTGTCCCTTTGCGTGTGCTCGTTGGGCTCTTCCGGAGACAGGGTAGCTGTCAAGAGAGGGCCGCATCCTAGTGAACCAGCCGAGAGAGGGGGCTGGCCATGCTGACAGAAAACTGGCGGGGTGGACACCGTGACAGGTGTGGGCCCTCGAGAGAAGGAGGGGCGTCGCCCGACCGGAGCTGGTCGGTGCCGGTACCGGAGATGGGGGGTGGGTTACCAGTCGGTAGCGTAGGGGAGGTGGGCGTCGTGTGTTGGTTTGCCGGAGAAGGCAATGTTCGAACGTCAAAATATGTATCTGGTCTGGGGGAAGAAAATGATTTAACTGGGGGGATGGGCTCGATGGGTTGATGTGAATTGTTTATGGGTTGAGTCAAAAGGCCTATTGATGGATTGAGCCTAGTTAGTTGTTGATTGCATTGAGGGAAAGGGCCTAGAGAGGGGTTGGGCCCAGTCAGATGGGGTGCTGTGTTGTGCTAAGGGGGAGAGTTGGTTAGGGAGTAGCAATGGGCTAATATGGGTGATGGCCCACATAAGATAAAGTGGTCTGATTTGGGCCTCGGAAGAGGTCCAACCTGTCGGCCCATAGGGGGTGAGCTGAGGGGAAATATGAAGCCAAGTGGATAGGGTTTGATTGTAGGGTGGTGTTTGAATCTGGCGCTGATAGGAGAGCTGCAAAAGTTGAAGATGGGAGGGGCCTCGCCGGTATAAAGCCAAACTGCTCTGGCCGCGGAAGGTGATTTCTGGCAGTCTTACTTGTCGGGGGCATAGCGACGGTATGAGGGCCATCGCTTTCTGGGGAGGGACCGCCTTCGAGCAGCGGAGCTGGAGAAGAGGCTCCCAGCGAGATATCACCTGCGCAAGGTGGCGCTATAACAGGCACCGGCAGGCCGGTGGTTGACGAGGTAACAGCAGAGCGGGTGCCACCATGTGCAGTCGGCCATCTTGCTCGAGAGTGAATCCGATCAATTGGTTGAATTATGGATCTAAAAACCTTCTTCACATTGGTGGACCAGGAAGAGATTCTGGCTTGTAGGTCGCCGGAGGACGGAGTCTGGGGGCCGGATGTGGCCATAGCTGAGGGGGATGTCGGAGCTCGATAGAGCGGCCATAGAGAAATGGGAGGAAAAGGGGGAAAGTGGCAAGGAGGAGGCGGAGCTGGGCCCCACGGGCAGGCGGCTCGCCGTCGGCGAT